TTCGACGACGCGACAAAGTCTCACGGGGTTGTCGTAGGGGGGGCGGACAAGTGAGAAGCACAGACACGACACTTCATCAGTTCCACAGGCAGCCGGCATTGTCATTTATATGCGCGATACGTGCAACGCCCTTTGTGACTTTTTCTCTCGTCGCTCACTCTCTCTCTCTCTCTCTCTCTTTTTCGTGCGTATTCTTGCATGCTCTCTGTCCCTTCACGGCCTAACCATCGTTAGTCGCGATCGTACAACATTACGACGAAACGCCAGCAACGAAATCACGGCGACGACGACAACGACTACGTCCTCTTTAGAAATTTGTTTCTTTGTCTGGCCACGCTCTTTTTTCTTCCCTTTGTCCGTTGTCATTGCCATCGTTTTCGTCGCCGTGAACCTCGTTCTCTCTCGTGTGCTCGCGCCACGCGGCGCGTAATCCGCGCGCCACGTAAAATAAAAAGAGGGGAGGGGGAAGAAGAAGGAAAAAAAGGAGAAAGAGCGTTCGCCTCTCCTCCTCGTCGTGACCCTTCACTCTCGACTCGGGGTGGATGATGTCGAGACCCGACAATGGTATTCGTGGCTACAAACGGTGGCTTAGAGAGGGAACGAGCGCGTTCATTTGCTCGCCGATCGCTGCCAAGTCTCTTTTCTTTTCTTTTCTTTTCTCTTTTCTTTTTTTTTTCGAACTCGGTCATGACTTTTTTTTTGTATCTTGCGTCTCGTTGTTTCGTGACGCTACACACCGTGCTTTTTCTTTTCACCGGTTTGATTCCAAGGGTCGAGTCTCGTTTCACGTTTCCACGGTTGCTCGTGCACATTTTCGAACTTTCTTTCGATGATGCAGCGTTAAAAATGTACAGAATATTTTTTCGATAGGATAGATTTCTAATATTAGATAACGCAAGCATCGTATGTATCGTTTGTTTCGCATTTCTTAATTTCAATATCACAAAATTGAAATTGCTCATCGATTATACTGAATATATATACCCAATATTATCGAGTATTCTATTAATGTATAACTGCAACGACAAATTCAATCTCTTTTCGAACACAGCAAACAAGAAACAAACTTCCAAATCCTCCACCTTCTCACCCACCATTGAATATCACCATCATTCAAAACCTTCAGCCGTATCCACATCGGATTAATTTACATATATTCCCCGCTACTAAGACAAAGACCTCGTCGGCAACGGCGCAAGTTTCCCGAAATACGCATCACGTGCATACAAACACGTGAGCCGAGCACACACACGAATCAAGGAGAACGTGGAACCTCGCGAGTGGGCATTTGCATGGAAATGGCCGCGACTTAACGTATCCTTGCGCGCGCTCTGCTCTCGAGTTTCGGGCAGAGTAATTGCAATAATTGTCGCGGCTTCGTATTGTTCGTCCACTTGGAGGAGAGAGACGGAGAGCGGAGAGAGATATTCCCCGCATATGGAACAAGCGGCCGCTTGATTCTAGCCTGATTGTTCCATTCTGAGAGTTCCACCACCACCCCCC